AGTTATCGGAGGGACCTGCGCAGCACTCGGCCGTAACAACACTCGTGCCGAACACGGCCGGGATAACAGTTTTCCGCCATGGAAGCATTGCTAATATCATACTGATCAGTCAACAGTAGTAACAGTTCCTGCGCACCAGCTTGCGCCTCGTATAAGATGGCTACTTTTGCAGAAACCTCAGATACCAGCACTCGACTCCGCCACAATAACGCTGCAAATTTCAGAACCAGACATAGCTCCTACCATCTCGACCATAGCTATGATCTCTGCTCTCAAAGTTCTTCTCCTGACGAGTAGCCTGATACTTGCGTCAGGGGCAGTAACATCACAACAAAGCCGCGCAGAGGTACGGGTTCAAAGCAATGCGTTTTTGGAAGGACAATGCTCACACTCTATCAGAATCTGACATGTCAGTTCAACGTGGGCCTTGACACCGTAGGTTTACTATAACCAAGCTTCCTCAAATTGTACTGGGACGCTGATTTGCATTAGTCGGATATTGCAAACACCAGCTATGTGCGCATGATGAAGAACGTCAAACTTCCTGTTTCCGGAACGACATACCGCTACGCCATCAATGCCCCATTCGACAAGAAAAAGCCATACCTCCTGTTTCTTCACGGCTTCCCAGATACTTCGTACGGTTGGGTCAACCAGATCGAATACTTTACCAGGCGCGGCTACGGCATCATAGCCCCAGATCTTCTAGGCACCGGTGGTACAGACAGGCCCGTCGAACTGGAAGCTTATAGTCTGAGGACTATGGCATCTGATGTTGCTGAACTGCTCGACTGCGAAGGTCTAGAAAAGGTAATCGCAGTTTCGCATGACCTGTAAGTCCAATAGTGCCGCACGTTGTCTTGTTTCTAGACCGCTAGACTAACGTGCCATAGCGGGGCTTATGTACTCTCCCGCTTCCATACGTACCAGTCTCAGTACCTCTCAGCCCTTGCATTCTTGGATATCGGCTACAACGCCCCTGGAATAGACGTCAACCAAACCTTCGTGGAGGCTTATAACAATATTTCACAAGCAACATTCGGCTACCCCATTCTCGGGTACTGGTACTTCTTCGATGAAGATGACGCACACGTCCTTTTGGATGCACACGTACGTTCAACATTATTACCGATCATGAGCTCAAACTTACAATAGTACAGTTGGATTCTCTATACTCTCTCGCGTACTCGTTCAATGCACCGAAAGTAATGGCGGAGAATTTCAACCCGGTTGGTGCACTTCAAGAATGGCTCGCAGCTGATAGAAGAGCGGAATACGGCAATGACTTCATCACCAATTCGACTCGGGAGCAATGGAAAACCATCGTTCGCGCACAGGGAGGCGTTGAGGCAAATCTGAAGTGGTACAAATCTTACTTGCGGGGTATCAACTCGGCTGATGAGGACGGTAAGACAGATTTCTGATGCCCGCTTTGCTTCACATGGTCTAACGCAGCGCAGAGATTCGATCGATGTCGGGAGTCATTGAGCAGCCTAGTCTGTTCATCGCGGCCGAGAGGGATTCGGTCGGTATTCCGTCGGAGCAGTTACGTTCTACGCTGCCATACGCTCCAGGAATGCAGATTAGAACTGTTGATGCTGGCCATTTTCTCCATATTGAGCGAGCTGATGAAGTCAATGAGGCACTCTACGACTTCGTTCAGGGGCTTCAATAGGTGCACACCAAGGTAGCAACTGGACTAGCGGAAGGCTGGGGTGATTTGCCCCTCTTTTTCTTCCTCTTTGAGATGTTGTAGTTAGGATAGTTGTTGTAATGGAAAGAGATTGTTTGATAATAACTCTTCTTCTCTGTGCGAGCACATATACTTACGGATCTTATTACTCGAGAGACTCTTTGCTTTCGGTTTGCTAAGAGCTGTAAAAGATTTGAGCAGCTCAGTCGCTCTGAGTCCTCGCGGTGTTCATGAAGTCAATAGCGTCAAAGTGAGCTGTTCCCATAAGTGTCTTCTTGGATGGATAATCTAACCTAGGAACGAGGGTGCGCAATGCTTATGGTTCGTTTATGACTATCCGGACCGACAGTGACTGGTTGACGTGAGATTACGCGGTGGTCAAAGACTAGAGATGGATAAAATGAAAACCTCTGGTACGGTAGTTTCATTTCGAATACGAATGCGTAATTAATTCAACGAACAGATCAATCAAAAAGAAGACACGCTCCAAAGAGGACTTCTGAACAACAACTAGGCTACGCTTGCAGCATCATTCTTTGCCATCTGTTCCAAGTGATCACAAAGCCCCCTCACCCGTTGCTCAATACTGGCATTGAAAGCTGCGGCCTTCTCAGGATCCCTAGGCGGCGAACCCATGACGGGAAAGTCAAGACGAGACTTTGCACACCATTCACTCACCTTAGGCTCCGCCATCCACTTGAGTCTGTTCTTCATAGAAGCCAGAAGGGTCGTCGGATAATCCGCCGGTTTGCGAGTGTACGGAAAGGGGTTGCATAGTGAGTTCTTGAGGTCTTCGTTGTCGTAATTGGCTTCGACGTGTCCAATGAGAGCGGCGCTGAATGTGGGCTGGAAGAACTTTATGTTCTGAATTGTAATGTTTCTGCCATTGAAGACAGGGACAGGTGGCACGTTTCCCAAACCAGGCGCAGTACAGTCGATGAAGAGAGTGTCAGGTACAGGACTGTATGTGCCCTTCTCTAGAGTGACCTTGTCTGGGTCAATGCGCTTGACTCGTCCTTGGCGTATGATGTTCTTGACTTTCTTGACCTCGTCAAACTCCGCCTTTGTCACAATCGCGTGCCTGAACATGGTCGGCTCGATACTCTTGTCTAGACGGTGAGCATGCCCGAGCTCCTCCATGCGATGGAACATCTCTTGAGATGTGTTGGAGCCCATGATGGCAGCGGATTTTTCTTCCTGCAGTTGTTCAGGGTTGGGCGTCGTCTCTGGAGGTTGAAGGGTAGCGCGTTCCATAAACCAGGAGTCGCGCGGCATGATCCAAGAAATGTTGTCCGGGACAATGCCTTGAGCTAAGAGCCACGAGCATGCGTCAACTGCAGTCTTCCCGGCTCCGACGATTGTATAGGCGCCGTAAGGTCGCTCCAGTGTTGTTGCTAAAGCGTTGGGTGTGACAAGATTGGCTTTGTCTGAAACCTCATACAAAGGTGGACCCATAGAGGGAACCGTGACCTTCACGTATGTGGAGTCTACAATGCGAGTGTTTGGTCCAACCCGGATGCTTCTCCCTGTGGTAATCGATTGAAACTCTCCGTCGCCAGTGTAGTTGTGCAGTGGGTAATAGGTTACGCGACCGGACGGAAGGAGAGTACTGTTCAGGACCTTGGTATAGTAGGCAACAATCTCGTCGCCCGTTGCCACCTCGGCAAGGCCCTTGTTGAATCCAACTTGATCAATCTTTTCATCTCCGAGCTGTCGAGAGTTGACACCGTAGACGTGGGACGGTTGATGGAGGGTGACAAAGGGATAGGCAACTGTCCAATGACCTCCCGGACGGGAATAGCGATCGACAATGGCTACCGTAGCCTCCTTCTTATCGGAAATCAGGGTATCGACAAAGGCCATGCCCATAGCACCCGCGCCGATGACAAGGTAGTCGACGGAGATAGTCTCGGTCATGTTAATTCCTGGCATCGTTCCTGAGGTATGTAGGTTGGAAGAGTCGTTTAGGGGGTTGTTGGTATGTTTGAGACGAAGAGGTGGTAGTTTTGGTGTAGCAAGAAGAGAGAGGAGAAAGCAGCACCATATACCTTGGTAGATACCTTGTCCGGCCGAGACGCCTACACTAGATTATTTATCAGAGTCCAACAGACCGTTACTTCGGCACCATTCGCTGTCAATGTTGACAGTACTCTATGATGCCTTGACTTGTCCGTGTATGTTTCTTGTACATTGCTGCCGAGCCTGATGTTGTGACAAAGTTGCCCCGGTCGGTCAGTAGGTCTAGTTTACGGACGTAAACAACGGAGCCCCACTATAACATCCTGGCTTGAAAGTGCCAACCTGCCAAGCAGTACTTGAGGCAAGTTTACGGACGTATAGGTACCCTACCATGGAGCCGTTGCGTACGAGCTTTGGCATCTCGCGATCCTCCGAACACGGCTGGAGATAGAGGTTCGAAGTGGCTTAGGTGCGGGCTCGTGTCGCTACGGGTTCGGCTTCAGGCGCTTGAACTGGCGGTTCTTCTTATCTACAAAGCACAATTGTATACAAATAGGACTTAGCTGGTCTAGTCTGCGTCATCGCTATAGCATGGGCAAAAGAAAAAGGGCAAAAAGAAGGATGTGCAAAAACATACAACAGCGGGGATTCGCTAGTGGTCACCCACCTAACTACTAATCCGCCGGTACAATGCTTGTATATGGCTGAGCGGACGGGAAGCCTAATTCTCATTGTCCTATGGTCGTATGTGAAGGAATAGGTAATTTGGTGGTATATGAAGCTATTGCACTGGCCTCAAGAGCAGAATGGCGGCGAAGACAGCATGAGAGGTGTCATAGGAGGGCTGCGACCGCAGGAGAGTAGACCAGCACTACGGTGTGCTCAGAAGGTGGACCTGTAGACATGATGCAGTCTGTCCAAGCCTGTCTCATCGGTCCTTGAAGGCTCGCTGCGGCACGGCGCAGGGCGCTACCGAGGTATAGCTGTGATGGTGACGCATGCCGAGGATGTGACCAGCTTAATACTGTAGAGCGAAATAGACACAGCAGTAGCAGTGGTAGTGGTGGTAGTGGAGCCGAGGAGTAATAGCCAAGATCCAGGTACCTCCTTCCTCTGCTTCAGGAGCCTCGTGGCATAGCGTACATAGGCACGTGCGCAGGCGCGTCCACGTTCCAAGGCGCGTAAACAAGCCGATGACGTAGCGTGGCTTGGGGCCAGCCATCAACACCTGGGCAGATGGCGCATACATATCCAAGGCTGGGACTGGCAGTCGACAATCCATCTTCTTCAACAGCTACATAATGTTTACCACCAAGACAACCTCACTGCGAGCTCTGTCTCGCGTACCATGCAGGTGCCCAGCAGCAAGGAGACAGTATGCGACGGACCATGAGCAGCGCACCAAGGAAACGCTGAAGACATCGTCGCGATTGACATGGTGAGCAACTGATATTCCAACCCTTTTCGCGGCGCAATTGCGTTTCCTCGACGACTAGACGCGCCGTACTGACTCCCTCAGGCTCACCACAACCGCGGCCGCCGGCGCTGCAGCCCTCTACTACACCACCACCCCATCCACTTCCACTGCCTCCTCCTCCTCTGCGCAATCAGCCTCTAAGGCCTCCCCATCTCCCCCGGCGTCACATGATACCACCCGACCAGGGCATCGCCACGAATCCGAGTACGCCTCCGACGTCCCCAAGCCCGTAGAAGACCGCCACGGCGACAGCGTCACCAAACACAGCATCGCCGCGCACAAGAACCAGAACAAAGTTCGCGAGGGCAAGTTCTCGGGCAAGGAGTTTGACAACCATGAGCAGGTACATTCGCCGGGGAAGCCTGGAGGTGACTTCGAGGTGAAGCGGTAGGATGGATGGAGGGGATAAGGGAGGTGAAGAAGGTTGAGCGTAGTAAAATGGATTGCAAAGTCACTGAGCGCACTCATGCTCTTCGTCGATATCGCAATCTAGTTCTATTTCGCTTCTAGTGTTCTGATGAAGGACAAAATATGCCGGTGCATCATGCTTCTTTGTCATGTATTTATTTCGGCTCGTATGCATCATAGCTCTAAGCCTCTCTTGAATCGCATTTCCGCATATCTACTGCGGTCCAAGCCCTGCATCTCTCAGCTCCTTGAAGAACTTGTTGGAGAAAGCCGAATCGACAAATTCCAAAAACTTGGTAACTTGCTTCCCGTCCTCCGTGAAATGCAAGATGAGCGCGTATTCGTTCGCATACGGTCCAATGTCACTGTCTGCTGTACTCGTCGCATGCATAATACATGTATGCGCATCTACATCATGCACTTCTGTGTGAACGGTGACCTAATACGATGTCAGTCGCTTAGACTCCTAAGAGGAACAATCCTTGCTACCTTGAAGTTCCTGAAATGTGGAATCATCTGACTGAAGCGTTCGCGATACTGGGTATTGTTCATGACTGGCCGGCCAAGAGACGCAGGGAGGACTTGTTGTGTACAGTCTTCCGTTCGATAGGCCATTATCTTGTCCATGCTCCATGCGTTGTATCCATCAATGACAGCTTTGGCCGTTGCTTTCTGGGCGGCAAGGGCGGACATTGCAGATAAGTTAGATGATCAGAGGAGGAGAATGTTGATGGTGTTACGGCGGTGGGGTTGCTGTGCGGTGGTACTTGACATGTACATGTCAGACTGATCCCAACAGGCTAGCATGAAGCGGGCAGGTGGCGGGGTTGATGCACACATGCTCGTCTACTGGTAGCGGATACTCGATGATTTAGGTTTGTAAAGATGCGTCATGCTAGGATGACCATGTTGGGCGACAACCTTAGAAGAGTCTAACCAACCAAGCCAAGTCATCACACCGCGCGCATCTCGTACCGCTGGCTAGGCTACCTCGGCAGCTTGACTTCATGCCTGTCGCTGTCTTCTTAGATACCCAAACCGCCACTCAAACCTCCCACCTGGGCGATGTCTCGATGACTGCGCGTTACGATAAGCCGCGGCTTCGCGCATATGCACCTGATCGCTGACGTAGGCACACATGAGTGAGGAAAAGCAAAACCGCCTTTGCTCTGCAATCAGCCACCACCATCAAGAATACCGCGAAAGAACAAGACGATAACGCGCCCTTTATCCCCCAAATCGAATCGGAACCCGGTTTTGGATCGTGCTGTTATTGGAGACATCGCATGCGTAAGCGGGGAACGCTTTTTGGGATTTGCATTGAGGATAGAAGAGAGGGAGGGGGCACAGCCATTCGGATTGATGAAAACCCTTTTGGTTTTTGAGCGGATTGAACTGGGCGCAGCGCGGTAAGCATGTCCAGTCCCTATAATTGTTTTGATAAAATGAAGTCGGGGGTGGACAAGGAAGGAAGGAGAAGGGCGGACAGATGAGGGGTTATGTACAGCCCCAGCATCGGAAGACACATCGTTGCTTTCAATCTCCGCAATTAAGAAGAGGGGGGAGAAACGAAGGACGGTCATGGATATCCAGTTTCTGTGTTTTGGTATTCCATTTTCGAGAACTCTCAACAGCACAGGAAACATTTTTTCTCCACATGCGAATTTTGGTACAATAGCTCCATCGAGCGGATAAGGAAGGAAGAGGGGTTCCAAATGATCAAGGCTGTGATATCGCACTCGAACACATGTAGCTGGACTCATCGCTTTTCTGAGAATGAGAGAAAGACGTGGGACCTTGTCGTTCAAGAGATAGGACCGCCGAACTCTCGAAGCGGACCATGTACGCTTCGGAGCAAGTTTTTGGAGTGACGTTTAAAATCCCAGCTACGAGATGTAACTTTGAAAAGTGTGCAAAGAGCGCCGGCACACAGCTCTTTGTACATCATGTTTTGTCTCAGCGAGAGTTTCCAATCATCGCCAATAGCCCTTCGTTTTTGAGAAGAGCACAGCAGCGCAGACATGTCTCAGCGGTATCGAAATTTTGGAAAAGAGGAAGAGTGCTCAGACATTCGAGAAAATGATTCGAATTTTGGTCATAACACAGGGATGTGTGGATGAAGAAGAAGAAAGGCGGAAGGCGCGAGCAGGTATTTATGCCCGAGCACGACCCACTGCCCATACACAACATCCACCCTCGATTTGTAAATTGATCGAGAGTAGTAGCCAAGGCACAGTTCGAGCCCACTTCCAAAAACACCATCGCATTGGGAAACGCACTTTTGAGAATGTGAAATCCGCTTTCGAGATCGAGGTTGCAAGGTTCCTAGAGATGCAGAATATGACTGTGAATTTGTAGCTTTTCGTGCGAGCACAGCGCCAGGCAAATAGAATAGTGGAGTCGTAACTTTAGAGAAAAGACCAGAGCCGGCGGGAAAGTCATGATACTCTTTCTACGGATTTTTTGGTGTATGCTCCAGCTAATCATCTGACTTGGTTTTTTGGAGCAAGACATCAGGAAGTCGCCAACAGAACATGAGATTGACTTTGGGTATTTTGAAAGGAAGGAGCAGAGTGCCCGCAGACATGATTGTCGCCGTCTGGTCTTTTGGTAAAGGAGGAAATGAATTTTGGATGATGACAGGAAAGAAGGAAGTCGAGAGGAGCTTATATACCCGTGCCCAAGCGCCGAACGCTCGGACACTGCAAGACTTCCTGTGGTCAAAAGTGGTGGTGGTGATCATCATGATGTATATATATTGCACGACCATGTATCTCAGTCGTGTTCCTTCTGCTATCTACGTATACACTCACCCAACAGTCGAGACATCTTCGTGTACATGAAAGTACTCATTAACGTCAAAACCCGTCTTTCACGACGTGAACCAGCAGGATATCCACCAGCCGTGTCGCGCCAGTTCACACTACAGAAAGCGCCGACGCTCAATATATACCAACAGCGCCCAACAAAGAAGCCACTAAACTATGCAAAACGACATTCAAGAAGTCAAATAGGAGATACAACGCGAAGGACTGACGGAAAAAGTCATCATCCTAACCGCTATAAGTATGTCCCCCCACCCCCCTTCTCAAACTCCTTAGGATCCCTTGGACTGAGTTCCGAGCCATCCGTATCCACCCTTCTTATCGCCGGTCTGTTTTGCACTCTCTCCGGCTCGAACCCTGGACTAGACGTCCGTGGCATATCCCAGTCATCTGAGTAACCTGGTGGACCAGCCAGCTCATCATCATCACGGCTTGCTATAGGGAGGAGATTTGTTGAATCGCCCTTGACAAGGCCCAGTCTCTCTTCCTCGGTAGCAGTAGCAGCTGCTTTGCCCTCTCTGCTGCTCTTTCGACTATGCCTACTAGTCGGACGCACTTTGCTACTTGACGCTTCGCCTGTGGACTCTGAGCGGTGCCGGGAGAAGACGTTTTGGAAAGAGAATTGACGTTTGGCGATGTGAGGGTTTGGACGTGGGGGAGCGAGGGAGTCGTTTGAATCGGTACGGCTGTGACGATATTGCGGATCGGGGAGCGCGGCGAACTGTATGTGCGTGTCGAGTGGCTTGTAGGATGTGTCTTGTGTCTTTATAGTTTGCTTGTAGGATCCGGCGTCTGATTCGCGGTCCGATGCGCCGTCTGCTTGTGGGATGGACGGGAGTGTCTGCATGCCCATTCCTGCAGTCCCTGGAGCGTGAGAGCTGCCGCGACTACTAGTCGATTTGCCTCGGGAGCGCAGTCGTTGGAAGAAGCCGGGGTGGAAGCTAGCGTTGTCGTCGTCGTCGTCGGATTCGTCAGTCGGGAATTGTGACATCCCAAGAGGGGGGTGGATGGTTCGGGTTTGGACAATGGTGCCGCTGCGCGTCGATGGCCGATTGGGGTCGAGAACCGTTTTACGTCTTCGGAGACCGTCAAACTCCACCTGCTCGCCCTCACCAATCGGTTCCATGTGCTCTTCTTGAATTTTCTTCGCCTCGGCGAGTTCCTTGTGAGACCTGGCCTTTGACAGTGATCTGAGGATTGCTGCGCCGCCACGGAGGGTGTCTGCTCGGGGCTCGTATTCTGGCTCCTCCATCTCTGCGACCGTTCGCACCTGGTCGAGGTCGCCCTTGAAGACGGCTGAGTCGGGAACGTCCTTTGCCGATTTGGAGAGTTGTAGCAGAACGACTCCGGAACAAATCTGCAAGAAGCCCATGATGACGGTGACGATCTGAAGTGGTGTGCCTTTGAAACCCTGGAAGAGGACGGCCGAGGTGACGATAGTCGCGGAAGTGAAGAAGACGTAGTAGGTTGGTGTTACCAAAGCAGCATTGAACAGATTCAAAGCTTTCTGGGCAAAGCTTAGCATACTCCACATGGCCAAGAAAGAGTGAGGGACTTACGTTGAGGTAGATGATCTCCGTCAGCAATGTGACGACAACAAAGACGAGCAGCACGTAGAGGAACCATTCCTTAAACTGTCCGCCGTATGTGCCAGAAGCCTGCGCCACTACAGCAGCACCAAGACCCTGGGTTGCGACAACACTCAGCCCTCCGATCAGACTGCAGATGGTGATGTAGACCATCATGGTCTTCTTTCCGTACTTTGGGCCGAGCCAGAGAGCAATGACAACACATGCGACGATGACGACACCTGCATAGCTGAGAAAGCCGGGCGCAATGACCCATTTCTTCATGTCTTGAATACGCGCCACAGACGACTGCTCGGGCGCGTTGACTGCAATGACAACAGATCCGATGATGCAGTTGAAACAGCCCACCTTTCCAACAAAGCTCAAGCGTTCCTTCAAGAATATAGTGGACAGTATAGCGCAGATAACGACGGAGAGGGCACCCATGGGGGTTACGAGGATAGCGTCGGTGAAAGCGTATGCGACAAGGTTACTGCCAGGTATTAGTAGGGTGTTCAGACGTGATGCCTCGCAGTCTGTACCAAATTTCTCCAACAATCATGAGGGTCATGCCGAGCCACCACCAGGCGTTCTTGAGGTACCCGTAGCCTTCTCCCGCCTCTTCATTGTACTTCTTGTTCGCCTGTAACAGACCATGCTTCTTGATGACAAACGACGTGCCGATGAAGACTCCCGATGCAATCGCCAGGACGAGACCAATAATTTTGTACGAGCCTGGACGGGTTCCAGTGTCGCCGCCCATGCCACCAGCGCGGGCATCCAGTTGGGCGGCGGCATGGAGGACGTGTGCTGTTGCGTCCATGGTTTAGTTGGGTCGCAGCGTGTGCTACCAAGTGCTAGTGCACCGGCGACTCGACCTGGGGGTGTAATTGATTTTGAAGCTGTTTTACCGCGGAAGCATGGATAAAACTGTTGGCGACTTCAATGTCTTGCGTGAAGGTGCACGAGGCTGCACGTGGAGGAACGCTGGATCGCGGAGGCAGGCACGCTTTGGGAAGTCTGTTTAGACAGGGTCCAGGGCACCACGGAGATGAGAGAGGAAGGCGCAGAGCGGTCGCTGAGGAAGTCGCAAAAATCGGAGAGGAAGGCGCGAGTGGTAGGGACTTTCTGTAGGTGAAGTACGAGGAAGGCGCAGTCTTCGGTGCAGATGCGGGCCGTTGGTGCGTAATCGTGGTGCGTACAGCTGAAGGGTCTAGATGCGTAGGTGATTGGTGCGCGGGTCGTCGTGGTGTTTACACGGCTGTTGGGGGCTAAAGCGTGGCGCAGAGGGGCAGTCAAACGCTGTTATACAAAAAGTCGCGGCGGAGATTGATGGAGTAAACAGAAACATGCGACAGTAGAGGCCGTCCCGCCGCCGTCAACATGTAATCTTGCTGCAGGGGCAACGGCGCATGGATCGTGGGTGTCCGGGGGGCTCTGAGACGTCACCGGCCAAGAGATCGGCGCCCGCCCACCAACGCTTGACAGCTGCCGCGCCAGAAATAGATGATCAACACTTGACAGCCAGTACGCGACGTGTGATATTCCTCCACTGCTGCACCTCCAGCGGCATGATTGCAGTGTCTGAACATGGCAGTTGAAATCGACGACCACCAGGACATCTTCGCCGCCGCCAGCGTGGCTCAGATCCATGAAGCCCTCGGCCAATTGCATGAGCAGGAGGCCAGCGTCACCCAGCGCCTAAACGCCCTCATCGCCTCGCAGAAGGATCTCTCGCGCGAACTCGGTCGCCTCGATCTGTTGCGCGCCCACCTCGGCACCCAAGCGGTCAACACGCGAGCCATTAGCAGTGGCATGCTCTCCGACGCCGCCTCGACTGCGAACCGAATCTCCAGCGCCGTCAAGCGATTAGACCAGGAACAGTCCAATGTCAAGGCCACACTCGAGGTGGTGGAGCAGGTGGCTGAACTGAAGGCATGCGTGCTGGGCGTACATGGGTCTATGGGAGCTCCCCAGGACTGGGAGACGGCAGCAGGCTATCTCAGTCGCGCCGCCAAGATACCCGACGACGTCGTAAATGGCAGCTTCGCAGAGGAGATTGTACCTACGGCCGAGGTGCCTGACCCGCCGCGCGTGACACTAGATGCAGCAGCGGAGTCGCTGTGTGGCCTGTTCCTGCGCGAGTTTGAAAAGGCTGCGCAAGAAGGCGACGGCTCCAAGGTGACGAGGTTCTTCAAGCTGTTCCCGCTGATCGGACGGACAAATGTAGGACTGGATGCATATGGCCGCTATGTCTGCCAGGGAGTAGCTTCACGGGCGCGGACAAACTTCAACTCGGCCGCGCCTGCCCAGAGGAATGAGGGTTTCTTCTACGGCAACACCATCACGAAGCTGTTCGAGCACATTGCCCAGATTGTCGACGGCCATGAGCCACTAGTAGAGCGCCACTACGGACCAGGCATGATGCAGAAGGTCATTGAACGTTTGCAGATTGAGGCTGATGTCCAAGGTGGTATTGTGCTGGACACATGGCATGAGGAGCGCCACATTGACCGCAAACTTACCGATATCAAATCATATGCCTTTTCCTTCCTTGTCCAAAGCTTCTTGCCTTCCCAAAAACCCGCCGCCGGAACACCGCGCTCTAGTTCTCCAGCCAACGGTGCTGGCCGGGCAAGCGAGGATGAAGGAGTGGACATGAAAGAGATTGACGGTTTGCTTGGAGAGGGTGCGCTGATGTTGGGACGCTATGCCCTGTATGCGCGCTTCCTCTCAGATAAGTGTGCAGTAAGTGCGGACACACGTGTGTATCTTCGTTAGCTTACCCTAGCAGCCCTCCGAACCTGAAGACCGCATCGACTACGGTCTGGTGATGCCCAACTTCCTTGCTACCAGTAATCTCCACAAGAAAGTCAACAGCCACCTCATTGAGCCTGTCAATGCAATGACGACCTTCTTCTTCCGACGATCGGTGGAGAAAGCTTTCCAGTTGGACGAACCACCAGCAGATCTTACACTGAACCCTACCAAGCCTCTTGGATCCAACCCACCCTTCATTACCTCCGCTGTAGACGATGTCATGTACATTGTCAATCAGGTCATTCAGCGGACACTAGCAACTTCGCAACGTGCCGTCGTCTCTAGCGTCGTGCCTGCGGTCAGCCACATCCTAGGCGCCGAGTTCATCGGCATGATACAACGGAAGATGCGCGACGAAAGCTACCCCAAACCCGTCATTCAGGGTGGTCTTCCTCCAGAGGACAAGGTCATTGCGTTCCTGGTGCTCATCAACAATCTCGATATTGCAAACGACTACGTCAAGCGCATAGTCCAGCAGCAGCTGGGTCGCCAATCACAAGGCGGCGAAGACGACGTGAAGTCGCCACTGCACGACCTCTTCCCATTCGGACATGATGCGGTCTTTGTGGAGAACACATTGAAAGCAATGGAGAAAGCCTTCGCATCCAAGAGCGGAGATTTGCTCAACGACGGCATCACCGTACTGTTCTCCAACGTCCTAAAGCCTCGCATTCGACCCATCCTGGCTGAAGCATTCCGAGACGTCAAATACGATCCTGAGGATGGCGAGAACGAGGATGAAGAGGAAGAGGACGTCGATGTGGTAAAGTCGCGTTTCGATCGCGGCTGGGGAGTCGTGATCCGTCCCATCAAGCGCATCTTGACCTCAGCGAACTTCGACCGACTCCTCGCTCTAGGTCTGAACTCTCTTGCATCTTCGCTCGAGAAGCGCATCAAGAGCTATTACGGAAGAGTGAATGAGTTGGGTGCTGTTAGACTCGAGCGCGACATCTCCGGCATCATCACAGCGGCTACAAGTGGCGGTGCCTACTCACTCCGCGATGTATTCCAAAAGAGTACGCAGATGACTCTGATTCTCAACATGGAAGACGATGAGTTTGCAGAAGTGGCGGAAGATACATCGGGCGACTCGGGCATACCCTGGGTGTTGGATGTTGAAGAGAGGAAGCGAGTAAGAGCCATCGTCAAAGGCTGATCAGATGATGCCTGGAATCGTCCTTCCGGAGCGGGGTTCATAGACGGAGGAGCATTCTTGGCACGCAATATATACAAATGAACCACTGCCATCCGCCTCGGTAGTGGAGTTTTGTCCGCAAATGATTTCCTCTGTCTCCTCGTATTGCGACTGCTCATGGCTCCTTGTTAGTACCACGCTGCGATCCGTTGCAACCGAGTGACATGTGGCTCGTGCCGGCTTGGCTGAACTCTCTCACCTCTTACGGGGAACATCGCACACGCTCAACGCCATCTTAATCCATCGGCGATATCTTCTAATCGCTATTTCATCCTCGCATCGAATCGCACGACATTATTAGGTTGCCAGGCGACTATCGGCCCGTCGCGCACGCCACGATGAGGCTGTCAACCGCAAAGATCCTTATCCCTTGCATCTCGCTTCTCCTGCCATCCCTGTCTTCGGCCCAATGTCCGCTCTACCAAAACTACGCGGCGCAATACCACGAACCCTTCACACAGGGTACTTGGAATCTGAGTTATGCCAGACCGATTGTGCCGTGTCGGACGTATCGGTCGGAAGAGGTGGAGAAGACGATTGAGCGGTTACGAGGTGTTATTAAGGATCCTGATCTCTTTCGTGTACGCGACTTCGATGCTGCGGTGTTATCGAGATGAGATGTTGATGTGAATGCAGATATTCGAGAATACATGGCCGAGTACATTGGATACGACTATTGCATGGCGAGGATGGTCAAATACGACCAGCGACCCGGACTCGTTGGAAGGACCTCTCATGAGCATGAAGCCTGAAGAACTGACTTTTGTCATCACCGGCGATATCGAAGCAATGTGGCTGCGCGACTCTGCAAATCAACTCCAAGCATACATCTCGGTTTTGAAACAAGACGACAGTCATGACAGTCTAGCCGCTCTATTTCGTGGAGCCATAAATCTGCAAGCACGCTACATTCTCGAAAACGCATTTTGCAACGCCTTTCAAGCACCGGATGAGAGCGGTGTTGAACATAAGAGCAGCATGAATAGCGATCGCATCACCCCGTCATTTGATTACTACAAAGTCTTCTCCTGTCAATGGGAACTCGATTCTTTGGCATCCTTCCTGCAACTCTCCGTGGACTACGTAACAGCAACCAAAGACTACGACTTCTTCGAAAAGAGCAGCAACTGGACCAAAGCCGTTGAAACCGTATTGAACACCGCAGAAAGCATGACGATAGATAGTTATACCGAAGATGGCGAATGGCAACACACACCATACACATACTGCGCTCCTTACGGCGGCACCCCGATCAACAACTGCAACGGCAGTCCACACAAAGGTAACATCGGCCTCGTTCGCTCGTTCCACCGCCCCAGCGACGACGCATGCACATACCAGTACCTCATCCCCTCCAACATGATGTTCTCCTCCGCCCTCAACACCTCCTCAACAATAATGTCGCGCATCACTTCCCGCGAGAACCCGCTAGCCGCACGCATGCAAACCCTCAGCACAGCGATAAACCGGGGCGTGGAGAAGTACGGTATTGTTAACGACCCCAATTTCGGCAAGGTATACGCTTATGAAGTTGATGGGTATGGCTCGGTGAATATCATGGACGATCCGAATGTTCCTTCGTTGCTTTCAGCGCCGTTTTTGGGGTACACGACACTGCGCGATCCGATATATCAGAATACACGACGGAAGATCTTGAGTAGGGATAATCCGTATTACGCCGTCGGACCCGTAATTACCGGTGTAGCGAGTCCGCATACCTTGCCCGGACGACCGTGGCCTATGGCACTCATCATGACTATCTTGACAAGCGAGGACGACGATGAGATCGTTCGGAATTTGATGTGGCTGGTGCAAAGCACAGATGGGCTGGGGCTTATGCATGAAAGTGTTCATGCGAGGGATAAGGGCGTGTGGAGTCGGCAGTGGTTTAGTTGGGCGAATGGCCTATTTGGGCAGATGATTCTGGATTTGGAGAGGAGGAAGCCGTGGGTTTTGGGTATGAGCTTTCAATAGCGGTATTGGATGATCCCCATCATTGGATACTTTGTTGGATGAAGTATCAAGATATAAATGCCTTCCAGCAGATATTTTTTTGTGAATAATCACTAGGATATCTACACAGGTTTCAAGGTATTTAACCTTTACCAGAATGAGGTATTAATATGTCTACATACAGTTTAGGAAGCTTGATCTGTGCCATTATTAGTTACCAAGATGTCTACATAGGCTTAGAGACACTTGATCCGTTGTGTCGTCAGGTCTTTGTGAGGATTGCGATAGCCGTCGTGGAAATAGAATGTAACCTAACAAGTAATACGAAGAGCCATGTGTACGTAGGCTCACGCCTTTGCCGTAGCCCTGGGATACGATGAAGGTACCAGGACGACAACCAGTGCTCCAGGTAAGGAGCATGGCAGCCCAATGCTGCTTGAGATTCGCGACACCGTAGTCTTGCTCCATGATGAATCGGAAGATGAGAGCAAGCGCAGGATCGGAGATATTGTTCTTGGCGTATGACGCTGAACCAAGGTCGTACTTCACAGCGACGAAATGAACATGACGGCTGACTTCGTCGTGCCACTTCTGCTAGATGGTGTTGAAGTCCGGCAACAAGGTAGAAGCCTACCGATATAGACCATGCTTGAGCTGCCACACACCACTAGCTTTGATCTTCTCGCTTACATGACCAGTGCTGAGATCAGCTATTGCACCGAGAAAATCCTTTGTGCGGGGGGTGGAAGTCGCAGAGTTTCAGATGTCTTTGGTCTCCGACCATTGGTTGGGGGAGACAACCTCGACATACTCTTCGAAGGCGGTACGGGCGCGAGTGCGTCTTGCCTCTGATCAATTTAGCATACGAAGCTCTTCAAACTAGCTGGAGCTGTGGCAGGGACATGTTCTTGAAAGGAGATTTACTGGTCGATGGAGCTCATGTTATAGACGTCAGACCTATCTATAATCTTATAATCTTCCTGTGTAGAAACAAATGTATTCCTAAACGCTATCTAGCCAATCCGTAGTTTCTCCCTGTAGCTGCTATGCCGGATTCTTGGCTATCTTCAAGATCAAATCTTGGGCAAAAAAAATACCGCCATGTCGACCCACCTCACGCCTAGGCCATCGAGACAGCAAAAAGACAGCTGGATGATTCAAGCGAGGCTCGAACTCGCGACCTTTCGCGTACTGCACAAGATGTGAGGCGAACGTGATAACCAACTACACCATCGAACCAACTTTGATGCCAAGTTGGGAAAAAAATTGCAATATATATTGCGCAAAGCTGCGAAGAGACGAGGTCGAAAGACGAAGGTGGGGCTGAATGCGGGGCAAAAGAGCTGTCGTGGCATGGCTCGCATTTCCTCTGGGAACTTCCAAGGACGAAGATGATGCACCTTCCCTAAACTGGGGCCTGGTCTTAATTCGGTCTCGTACGAAGCCAGCAAAGACGGAAGTTACTTCAATCGCCGATCCGATGCATCGCTTGTGACCGGATGGGGCCTGTGGTAAGTTCGTGTCGTGTAGCTAACATGACATCGAAGTCCGACGAAGGGCGTTGCTCACTCCTACACCCACCTCATTAGTAGAGCCTCTAGTAAGGCTTCTCTTGTCGAACAACCTCATTCTCGGTCTTCGTTGTTCCTTCAATTCGCGTTCGATCCGCAATGTCGACCCTCAAAGAACAGCTACCATGGGTGTCGTCGCCCTTGATCGTCAACGCACCGATGGCGGGCTTCGCGGGTGGTAAGCTCGCGTCAGCTGTAACACTGGCCGGCGGCCTTGGTATGATCGGAAGTCTACGCAGTATGGACGACTTGCGGAAAGAGTTGGGTATCGCCGCAGAAGCTTTCAAGGACAGCCCCAAACTATCGGCGTCGCGTACCCTCCCAGTTGGTGTCGGCTTCCTCTCGTTTGTGCTCAAACTCGAAGAGGTTCTTCCGGTGTTCGATGACTTCAAGCCCGCGGTCATCTGGCTGTTCGTGCCGAAAGATCTGGATGACTACGCGGAATGGGTGCCGGCGATACGCAAGGCCTCACCGGAGAGCAAGATCTGGATTCAGCTCGGTAGCGTCGCGGCGGCTCTTCATGTTGCGAAGATCGCGCGTCCAGACGTGCTGTGTATCCAAGGCGCGGATGCCGGCGGTCACGGCTTCGAGAAGGGCGCAAGCATCGTCTCGCTACTGCCGGAGGTGACCGACGCGCTCGCTGCGGAAGGCTTCTCACACATACCCCTCGTTGCCTCAGGTGGTATCGTCGACGGACGCGGTGTTGCTGCAGCACTCACCCTCGGTGCCGAAGGCGTCGTGCTGGGAACGCGCTTCCTCGCTTCTAAAGAGGTGAACGTCCATCCGATGTACCAAGCCGCAGTCCTAGAGGCACAAGATGGCGGTCAGGTGACGACGCGTTCGAAACTGTTCGATCAGTTGCGCGGCCCCAACGTCTGGCCGGAGCTGTATGACGGGCGCGGATTGGTGGCACAGAGCCACAAGGACTTTGCGAACGGCATGAGTCTCGAAGAGATACAAAATCTGCACAATGAGGCCGCTGCGGGTGAAGATAAAGGATACAATACAGGGTTGCGAGGACGCGCAGCAATTTGGGCTGGCACTGGTGTGGGGTTGGTGAAGGAAGTGCAAAGCGCGGGCGAGATTGTACAGAAGGTGCGGGAAGGTGCGAAAGATTTCATGGTCAGGGCGGTAGCGAGACTATGAGAGCATTGTTGTTTACATTGAGTCACGCCAAGAAAGTGAAAGTGAACGCGACTGCGACGGGAAGGAGCGATCATTGACCTCCGATGACGTCACGTGCTCAGTCGCAAACTTGGGGACCCTGAAAGCACGGGAACGAAACATTCGATTCGTTGCGTTGCAGGAGCGTCGGACCAGTTTTGCTTACTGGTTGTAGCGTCGGCTCGTCTCCTTAATCAGCTGATGAGTTCGTTTCTTCTCTTTTTCATTACGGCGTCGCGCCTCCCTACACGTAATAGATTTAGTACCCAACATCTGGCGCATCCTGTTCATCCAGCACCTCCGCTCACTTCAAAACTGACAAAGCTTTCTCATTGCTTTTCACCATGTCAACTTCTAAAGATGTCCCAACGTACGACAACCTTCGCTCTTCTGGCACCATCGTTCTGTCCTCTATGGATATGCTGCGAGTGCGCTTGCCGCTCTTTGGGCCTTTGGAGTCTTCAGTCGAAGTTGCGGACACCCTCGACCTAGACTCTAAATGTGAACCATACACTACCGACGGTCATTCCTTTCACAAGATCTCCACCTCGCCCGCAACGGAACCACCGGTTTCGTCTATCAGCGTACATGTAGACGATCTAGACACATGGGGATACAGATGGGAAGGAGAGCATCGAGACGATAACTGGGACAATCAAGAATGGACCGGAGACTCAGATGATGAAGATCGGGAGCTTTTGCGCTGCTGCGGCATTGCTTGCCCACCACCTGCGCCGTCCCTCGAGGTGCTGCCTACTACGCATCCCTTCGTTACCGTACACGACTACGTCACTCAAGTCCACGCTTGGATCCAGACTCTGAAACCAAGTATTCTGGCAGCTATGGACGAGTTGAGCTCTCCATCAACAAGACTCTACAGCAGCTTGGTGATCCTGAGGGTCTTAACGTTCGAGGAAGACATAGGAGCGGACAGACTGTGGGAATCAGTTGAGCGACATGTACGACGACGTAGAGACGGCACGATGTTTTCTCGAGCACACTATAACAACACAGTACTCGTAAGCCAATAGTACTCACATTGACAGTGCCCAGTATCCAGTCTCAGATCTAGGAAACTGCGTATCTACGCGGAGTGCAGCAGTCTCCTCTACTTTCACGTAAGCTCTGTTGACAATTCCATCAAACTAGCTTGAAAATCTGTCTTTCTAATCGACTCATTTCTTGTATGAATCGACCTTCCCACTGCTCCTGTCTCTGTTTCTTTTTTCCGACCACCTGGGCAAATTCACAGTCCCGCTCGTCCGATGATCTTTCGCCTTCATGTAAAGTCTCTATCTGGATCTTGATACCCTTGTCGAGAAATTCCTCCCATAAACCAAGCGTGCCTATTCCGGCTCTTCTGTATACACCCGGACTTTTCATCGTCACTATCAATGCGTTGCAACCCACCCCATCTTTCTCGCCTGGTTCTGGTGCAGTCAGCGGTACTGCGAGAACCTCTGGAGGTTTGTTTCTGTGAGGGCTGTTACTCTGGTTGCGGGCCTGTCTTGTGTTATCTAGGTCATGATCATCCCAACGATCATCCAGCAACGCTGTAACACGATCAGAAGCCCCCTCCACGCTCTTCCAAACATATTCCTGGTCTATGGAGTAGTCCTTGTACAGTTTGATAATAGGAGCCTTGAGTAGGATAGAAGCTTCGATAATGTCGCCCATGATTGGGCAGCCTCGTGTGTCGTAGGTGGTTTGGATAACTTCTGTACAAGGACAGTGCTGCCAAGAGCCCAGACCTGACATTGACCAAGAAACTGGACGCTCCGCCGACGCCCATGACCAACTTGGTATAATCCCTGGCCCAAGTGGATAACGAGGCTCGAAGATGCGACCAGCCTTAGAGCAGGCCCACAGAAGATCACATAGTAACGTGTCCTCCCAAAGGCCAGCTATGTACATTTTTTCTGGGTTCATAGTTTGAACTTGGCTCGCGAATGCGGCGATCGCGGGAAACTTGTCCTTTCCAAATGTAAGATTCCGCCAGGAATAGCCCTCTACAATTCCGTACCATAGTTCTTGTAACGAGCTATCAGGTTCCGACATGTTTACTGCGACATGTTCTGGTAAGTCTAGTTCCTCTCCTGGGTCGCCTTCACAGACAGTTACTTCTCGACAGAACCACATGACTTCCTGTGCGCCGAAATGAAGCACCCGCCGTGATAGACTGAGTTCTTGGAATGTCCATCCACGCTTGTACAACGCTCTTCCATCTTTTTTCTGTTTGAGCCAGTTTAACTCGCTGGTAAACGGCTCCCGCAGATCAAACTGCTGTCGAACGTGTGCCCAGGGATAATTTGACAAATGGGAGCCAACGCGAGACTCTGGGTTAGGATGAAAGAGTCCTTGCGATGCATCTTCCGCTCTGACTGCTGCAATAGTCACGTACGCCAGTTCATAAACATCCGCCATACGAGAAGCCTGCTCGCGCCAGTCACAAGCATCGTCTTGTACGATGCAAAGGCTGTCAATCCATATGTAACCAATTCCAAGCTCTCTGCAAACCAATATGGTATCTTGATACGTCCTTGGAAGGTCCGCGACCTTTATACCCGTGTTGGTATGGTCGTTCCGGTTTTGTATGGTGGTCTTGATGAGATCCTCAGCACTACCCCAGCAGTGACTCAAGCATGCGTATCGGTCTGGTCTCACATTCTCCGTTACAACGATAGACTCGTAGCCTATGCGCAAGAACCTGATGCCGCTAAGCCTCTCCCTCTGTGGTGCAGTATCTCTCGCGCATCGTGAGTGTCTCGAGTGGCATTCGGCAATCCAAGCCCTGATGTTATCAAAAGTCGCGTTGGATGAAGTCTCGCCAGTCAGGAGAGCAAATTTTCCATTTCCATCAAGCCTTGTGACCACCGCGGGGTTCTCTGCGACCATATTAGGTTCTATGGGAAGATTTGTAACCAAAATGCGTACAATCGCAACGTTGAAGGATCACAACATACCTGGGTTTTTGAGCAGACACTCAAACATTGCACACGTAAAATCATGTGACGGTGCGCCGTCTTGACATACCCTGAACTTTCCACTCCTTTGAAGGAAAACAGACACTGGTCGTACTTGGGTCCTGACATCGATCCACTCGAAACAAGCTTTCGCCAGCATGTACCACAAACAGCCACGCAGCAACAGCTTGTCAAGTTTTTCAGCCGCTTTAGCTAACATTGGGTATTTCATGAAACTGTAGTTGTTGGGGCAATATCTGCACTTGTGCTCAATCAGATCCGAGTGAGAAAACATGATCACCGTGGCTTGGGTTCGTCATAGGTGTTTCTAGTGAGTTTTGCAGACACTGGAGTATGTGGAGATGAAGAGTGAACAAGCTGAGGGGCGTCAGCATACACTCGTGGAATTGCGCAGCCTGAGTGGCTGAGTCAAGGACGTCAACCTAGGCTAGCGTGGACCTTCATGCATTAAGTGAGCAGGCGTATACAAACAGCCTACAGCGTCTTGGTCCGCCAGCCTTGCGTCGCCATGATCTGCGCGAGCAAGCCTAATAAACATTTCGTATCTTTAGAAGACTAAGATGACCATCACAACTGCGATATAGGCACTGGCTATCTTGATATCTGCAAAGCGATTATGGAGGCGCAATGAAACTAGACAACGACATACTAGATGACATTAAAGCGATGAACAAGGGTATGTATTTATGAGCGAAAGAGAACTAAAATTACAACAACGATCCAATCAAGCAAAAGCCCACTACACCCACCACCCAGCCCAACATCCCCCTCATCTCGGGTGCCTGCCTGACCGCAGCACCGGTGAACTCCAGAGGAGCAGTCTGCTGTACGGGCGCAGCGCTGGCATTACTCGGCACTAAGAAGCCCGCCGCCATAGTAACTACCGGTGCCGGCGGTGGTAGATTCTCTGTCGCAACAGCCGGTGCGGATGCGATCGGTGTTGTCGAAGCGACGGAGGAAGAAATTACGAGAGAAGTTTCGGATGCGCTCGACAAGGCCGAAGAGGCTGGGCTTGCTGAACTCGATATGTTGAAGGTGGGAATGAACGGTGAAGATGGCGATGCAGATGAAGCCTGAGTTGCGAATTCAATCGACGACTCCATCGACGAAGTAGGAACGATAGCAGCAGATTGGCTAGCCGTGCTTGAAGCCACAGATGTTGCGTTGGTCGTCGCAGCTTCCGATGTAAGAGCAGCAGAGCTCGAAGTCTCAATAGCTGACGACACGCTCGCAGAAGCAGTCACTGTGATTTCCGCAGTTACCTTAGAAGTAACGTAAGCAGTGCTTGTGATCTCCACAGTCGAAGTGCTCTCGGCTGATGTTGTCGTATCGTTGAGCGACGATGTTGCTGACGGGGTGTACTCAATAGCCGGGACTGTCGTAGTAGCAGCGGATGAAGTCGTGGAGACAACGTAGCTCATTAGGGCAGAAGTGGAGTTCAACAGGGAAGTGGTACAAGGCGTAGAAACGACCTCACTCGCCATTGTCGAAGTAGTGTTCAACAGCGACGTCGCGTCTGCGGTGCTGCTTGCCACAGTGGAGGTAGTGTTCAGGGTAGCAGTCGTAGACACCATGCTGCTCATTACCGTTGAAGTGGTGTTCAAGAGCACAGTTGTAGACATGGTGCTAGTCATGGTTGTCGAAGTAGCAATCGACTCTGCGGAGGACGGGGCCACGTCGCTGGCGAATATGAATGTGACGTTTGGCATCAAAGTGGGAGCCGCGGCCATCTCACTAGCAATACTCGCTGTAGTCTTCGCTGCAGTGTCTGCAATTGGCGTTCCAGATACGGTCGCGCTGAACAAAGATGTCATGTTGGCTTCCAGCTTCGGGGGCGCGGATGTAGCTTCAACCATCATCGGCGGAGGTGGAGGCACGATAACGCCTGTGACGTTGTCGAAAGCATTCTCAGGCGCTGCGCAGCCAGACAGCAGAGGGAAGACTGCTGTGAAAATGTTCTCCTGGACACCGACTGCATTGAAAGGTGGTGGAAGGATTGGTATCGAGACATCGAGAGCGATATCGATCGAAAGGGAAACATTGGCTTCAACCAAAGCAAGAGGGCCTAGACTGAGGAGTTCGGGTGGGGATTCTGCTGTCTGGTTGGCGAATGGCGCACCCAATTGCGTAGCATTGCTGCTGTTGCCCGCACCACAGTTCTCCGGAATGTTGCTCGACAGCTTCGCGTCCAGACGGGGTAAGTTCAAAGATGGGGTTACTTCAGCCTTCAGCTGATCCAGGAAATCGAAGCCGATCGGAATGGCAGGAATGAATGCGAGACCAAGCAAGATCTCTGCATCAGTTATGTTAACGTTGACGGGCAGCGGGGTGAGACTTGTCTCCTGGAAGCCAGTAACGCGGCTGCTGGCAAGATCAGCAAGCTCCACTCGGATACTGGAACCATCAGGAACCTGGGAGCGTTAGTACCTCCATAATTATTATGTGGAGAGATACGTACCGTAAGCTGGAGACCGTAGTTGACTTCAAGTGTACCACTGATCTGAAAGTCAAACGCAAGCCTGGGCTCAAAGATAGCTCCAGCCTTTCCAATACCCGGAATTGTAAAACCAGCAATAGGAAGTTGGAATAAAGCGACCTCAAACTTCCCAGAGCTGGGCGGTCTAGCGAACAAGTCCAGTGTTGCACCAACACCAGTCGCCACAAGCTCTACGAAACCACTACTGATGACGTGCGAAATCTCCTTGCCGTCGTCACCGCCTTCGAAGATGTCCGGAATGAGGTCGATTTGGGAAAGATCGATGTTGAAGGCACCCTGTGAAAGGGCGATCTGCCCACTTGTCGCGCATCGCTTGCATCCAATCTCGATCGGCAACGGCACATCTGGTGCTCCAACAAGGCCAGCGATACCCGACAGAAAGGCTTCGACCGGGAAAGTGGTGTCGAGCAGCTCCGATGATAGGTCAAAGGAAACAGTGTTGACATCGTCGGGAGTGTCTGCAGGAATGTCGACCTTGTTCTGTCGCTTGTTACGGATCCTGGCGAAGTCGGAATGGCGTCGGTAAATATGATCGTCTGTCGTGTGACCGAAAGAGATGTCAACATGGTCAAATGCTGCTCGCCATGTCGTCTTTGAGACGGATAGCTCAAGAGCTTCACCGTCCTCAGCGAACGACACGTCATTGACCCTTTGATCGTCAGATGAAATCACCGAAACGCCCGTGAGAGCTTACCGATATACCGATCGCTCGCCCTCATCATTACAGCCCTCGTGGGACGTGATGATCAAACCACCATCCGCGTCATGACAGGCCGCTCGGGCGTCTCGTGCTGAAGAAGTATCCACAAAGTGTAGCTTCATCGTGTCATCCCCACATTGCACATCTTTGAGGTGATGTTCATGCTCTTCCAAGTTGAGCAGTGGTCTCTGCCCACTGACTTTGACCTGCGAAGCAAATGTAGACTCGTCATTCCAGACGTTCTCATCTAGCTTATTGTCAGTATTGATGCCATCTCGTGGCTGCTACAACATACTGTCCACATAGGCCAACTCAGACTCGAATCTCTTGGTGATCCTCACACCCCTCCGATACAGGTCTGTTCGTTTTGTAGCTGCTCGCAGCAGCCGATGCGTCTCAAGGTCACCACCTGAGATCGCAGCAACATCCGCGCTACAGTATGCGATTAGGAGAACGGCAAATGCGCCGCGGAGGCTGGAGAAATGCATGTCGCGCGCGTGTTAGTCGAAAGAGATGAGTTGAAGACACGTTCGTGCTCTTGTGAGGGCCAAGCAGCGTACGAACGACAACCCAATTATTAAAAAGGTGTAAAGAAAACGAGCGAATGTAAAGAGCGTATACCTCACTTCGAAAAGTAATCTCGCCAGCGAGTGTAGACGACAAAGATATATAGAAAAGAGCCCACCCACGAAGAGAATCCACACACCACGAGAGGAAACGGAAGATACCTACCCCTACGAAGATCGGACGAGAACCAAGCCTAATAGAAAGCCCGACTCATTGCAAACCCCAGCACAGCCAAGCCAACAGGCTGTGGAGATCATACACTGCACGGTACCTGCATTTTTTGGCACTGCACAGGTTGTCTTTCGCAGCGAGGGCTGCACCACGCGTGGTAAGGCCCAAGATCCTCGGCCCGTGGTTCGCGTCGCATGTTCACGCGTGTGGTCTAGTCCATCGCGACCGTGGCGTGAATGGCATGCGCTACAGCTGTCATAGGTCCGTCAACTCATAAGACAGCGGAGTAATGGTACGGGGGTGGGTTCTCAAACGGGGATTGTGTGAGAAAGGGTTCTGTTTGCCTCAGGTTCTTGTCCAAGCGGGTGGGGCGGCCTAGTGTCGCTAGCGCAGCACTATTCTGCTTTTCATCTCTTGCTGCGACAACCCCTGAGGCTTTTCTATCGGTATCTTCAATTGCAGGACTTTCGGAACTTTCGGCAGGTAAAAGGGCCTTTGGTGTATTGGTAAGGGCTTCAGATATGTGAAGTTATGCCGAACGGTGTATTGGATGCTTTCAGACAAGTAAGGTGCATAGCACGAAGGAGCTCGTCGACGTGGGATTTGACTCTTCTTCATGAGTAGCGCAAGATAAATCCACTGAAGGATTCAGATGTTGTGTTACCATAAGCCCGAAAAAGCCCCAAAGGTGCTCAGGTGGTGGCGCAGGCTCTAGGCGGCAGCCTTGGCCTTTGCTGCATCTCGAGAATGCTGACAAGTGTAGCACCGTCCACGATACTCTCAATTACCCTCTCGTGGTTTCCACTCGGCCCACAGAATGCCGCCGTCGGAAAGCCCGTATGTCGATGTGCCGCTCAATTTCGGAAGGAAAAACATCAGGCTGGTGACCCTGCAGCCCGGCGACGCGTCGGAATCCATCAAATGCGATCTGCAGAGCCACGCGCTGAATGACGAGTGTCCGTCGTACGTCGCTCTTTCATATGCGTGGGGCGCCAAAAGTCGATATAAGGATATACAGCTCAATGGCTTCTCTTTCCCAGTGGGTCGCAATCCCTGGCACTTCCTCAATCAAATGCGTATGCAAGGCCAGGACGTCGTCTTCTGGATAGACGCCATCAGCATCAATCAAAAGAATGTGCTCGAGCAAAATCATCAAGTTCAGATGATGAGAGAGATATATACACAAGCTTGTTCCGTGTGGATCTGGCTTGGCGAAGCAGATGATGCCACAATGAGCGATGTCGCAATGCAGTATTTGAAGACGCGGGTGGCTTTGAACGGCAAAGATGTCAACCCAAAGAAGTTATGGGACGCACGTAAAGCAAAAGCTATATTGGGGCTGTGTGAAAAGGAGTACTGGAAAAGGATCTGGATTGTGCAAGAAGTTTTACTGGCGAGAGAGGCAAAAGTCCTATATGGCGACCATTGCGTCCAGTGGATCAAACTACAGCAGCTATTGGCCGACCTCCAAGCTATCTCGGACAGAGGGAGATCTCTTCATGTCGTCGGCGTACCGGCTGTCCTCGATAGTCCTGCCGCAGTAATTATCAGGGCGAAAGCTCAATGGAACGGCGATCCTCAACCCCTCACATTGCTGCTTGAGCAATATCACAGACAGCATTCGACTGATGTCAGAGACAAGATTTACGCTTTACATGGACTAGCAAGTGATAGTAGTATCATACCCATCGACTACCGAATCGACCCGAAAGAACTCTTCGTGCAGATTGTCCAGCATGCATGCTCGTCACTAGCGTTCGGGATGGACATGAAGAAATCGAGGAGGGACCTACTTGGATTTGCGAACTTGATGCGCGGATCTCTTAAGGTCTTCTGTGATGAGGAAGAGCTGATCGATCACATCTCAGTGGCTCAGTGGAAAAGCAGTAATTCGTGCGGGAAACAATCGAAGTACGACTGGTCCTCCGCAGTTTCCTATTCGTACCCAGAGGATTCTAAGAAAGCTCAAATGTTGTACCTGGAGGAAGCTCTATGTGCAGAGCGTCCCATCCCAAGGGTCAACGCTCCCCTAGCGCAGTCGGGTCGGTCAGGGTCGCGAGAGGCCGGTACATTGGTGGAAGCCGGACCTCAGGCTTTGCCGCAATCCACCTTTGACACTTCTGCGCAGACTGCAGGCAACGATCCTGGCGAGACGGCTCGCAAGGTAGCACGTTCTCTTGGATTGGACGATCAATGTGAACACTGTGTCGGAGGTAAGGTGAAGTCCAAAGAAAAACACTTCGTGAACACAGGCAGTAGAGAACACTTTGTGAACATAGGTAGAAGACGCTAAGGTGCGCATTATGTCTTCCTTAACAGTTATCTTACCCTAGTTACTTATAACTCTTATAATATATCACTACTATATACGCAAAAGTGCTCTTTACTAAGTAAGAGGGATGCCAATTCTCAGGCTGTGACCTTGGGTACGTAGAGTAGGCTTTGTCTCTTCTTTAAATTAGCAACTTCTTTACTAAGATCTCCCCCTTTACTGCAGAAAGCTTTGGAAAAAAGATCGGAACACTTCCGTGATCTGCAGACGCACGAAGACCCTTAACTCAAAGGTATCGTTGCCGACTACAGCGACCGCTTCGACCGTAAGACAATTTGCGGGATCATGTGTAGCTTTCGCATCGAGATGTATCACAATCACCGCTTTTCCAGAGAAGATGTTTGATTCATACCGCGATAACCTGCCGGCACCCGAGCCATACCATAAACACAGCTAGTGACACGTTGGACAAGACTCTCTGTGCCTTTGTACTTGAAGTTCAGATTAGATGTTCCTGTATACACAGTTAGGAGATAAGCTCTATACGAGACGCTAATGTAACCATTTATGAAGATTGTGGTCTCCATATCTCCTCCAGCCTAACACCCCTCTCACGACGAAGCACCAATTCCCTCACCCACCGGACAATTCGGCACATTCCCCTGCCAAGCAACCTTCGCATACGCCGGCAAATAGCTATTAGTCGTAAAGCTCTCATCAATATAATACTCCACCTGACTGACCGAAAAGTCACCACCAACATCCGGCTGGTTCAAAGCGTCGACGATATAGCTAGCGATAAAGTCCAAGAACACCAGATCAACAGTCTTCGGCATTGATCCATCGAGCGGGAAGGACGCGTTCGCCTGGAGGTCGTTGGGCTGGGAGAAGTTGGGGATGGCGGAGTGAACGGTGTCGTCGCCGTCGGTGCCGAAGTCGTCTTTGGTCGTGTAGCCTGGGTTGGGGGCTGTGGATTGACGGCGGATGAGACGGCCGCCTTGCTTTGAGCGGCGGGTTACTCCTTCGTAGTGGTGTGTGAGTGGCGGGTCGAGGCAGGTGTCTCGGTCTGCGAGAATGGGGCTGAAGCCGAAGTCGGAGGTCTCAAGGTCGCGCTTCTTCTTCTGGAAGGGGCCGGCGTTTAGTATGCCGAGGACTTGAGATGCTTGCTCGTAGGGTACGTCGGGGATGAATTGAAAGGCGTCTTTGAATGGGGAGACGATGAAGGA